CAGGTCAAAACTCAAAATAATTAAGTTTTTGAACTGATATTCGGAATCTGCATCAAATTTTGCATCGAAAGATGTAACTCTCGAAAAGATTCGGAGGAAAAACCTTTTTAGTGTCCTAAGGTGGGGGTTATAGAGTCTGTAATTTTCTGAAAAAGTGAAAGAGACTTTTCGAGCGAATCAAATACGTCATTTTGTTCAGGATTCGATACTGATTCTGAATATGTGTTCCTTTTTTTTATTGGTTAAGGGGAGATTTTGACCCCTACCCGACCCTCTCCTTTGTGGCACGTCTAGAATATGAAGAATGTAGGTCTAGTTGACTTCTGTTGTGGAGAGGACAGTTTGAGGAATGAGTGAACTTATAGCATAGAGATAGACTGTAAGTTAATAATTTCAACTCCTAAAAGTATGACTCCCTCCCCAAAAATAGTGTTCGGATAGTACCAACACTAGTAGTAATTAGTACTAAGTACTAGTAGTAAGTAGTAGTAATATCAAACATTAAAAAAAGAAAAATATACCGCTTTCTCTCTAATTGAAACACATACCTCTAAAGTTTATCTGTTCCATTTTCATTTTTAGCTAACTTATTATATTCAAACCAAAAATAATGGGATTAATTCATCGAACTCTGTATATGATATTTTTCGCGTGTATGATGAGTTTTATAATCATCGATATGTTATTTAACACTCCATTAGCAATGAGTAGTGATAGAAAAATACATACAAGAGAACAAATGATATTAGCAAAACAACTTATTTCGAATAAATCTCATCTATGTGATTCAACAAAGCATCATAAAGTTATCATTGTTGTCAAATCTGTTGCAACATCGTCTGGAAAATATTATAAGAGAAGAATGTTTACAAGAGAAAGTTTGTCTCGAAAAGCAAAACAATTCAATATTTCTGTTTTATATGCAATTGGTCTATCAGAGAATGATCAAGTTCAACAAAAATTACTGAACGAAGATAAAATTTACGATGATATATTACAATTTAATTTCACCGATACATATTATAATTTGACATTAAAAACAATGGGCGTTCTGTTTTGGTATAATCGTTATTGTTTGAATTCAAGTTCATATTTGTATTATATTGATGACAATGTACTATTAAATGTACCTGCTCTTATGAAATATTTAAATAATTCAAATCGACGAAATGATACCCTCAAAGGGATTATATTTAAACAAAAATATCCTTTCGCAACAGAAAAATGGAGTATGTCGATAGAAGATTATCCAAATAAAACATATTCTAATTATATTATGGGCACAGCGACATTATTTCCATCTAAGATAATACCAAAATTAATTGAATCTTCAATTAAAATTCTTCCAACATTATTTCTTGATGATATATTTATTTCGGATATTGTTGCTCATCATACATCAGTGAAACAACAACAATTAGATGACACATTGAATTGTAGTCAAACTATACAATTGTCTAAAAATATTTTTATTTTAGAGTGTAATCAAAATCGAATGGTGGTATGGACAAAATATCTAATAGAAAAAAAACAGACAAATAATAATAGTTTTCAGTTAATTGAAATAGCGAATAATATTAATACGAATATGATTCTTTCAGATCGATCTCGTATACAAAATCATTATTCATTTCTAAGAGAATATCGTGTTATTGCATTGTCGTTGATACTATTTCTTTTTTCAACAATAAGATTAATATGGAAAGCGATTTATACTAGGTTTAATCATCAAGAATATATATGTCGAGTTTAATTTTCTTGTTTTGTTGTACTCAACCTACGGCGGTAAGAAAAGCGTGTATTCTCAAAGAAAAGAATTGGATTGAATGTTTCAGTGAAGAAGGTGCATCTCTTAAATCAAAGAGAACAATCTTTTGAAGAGAGATGCATCGTTTTCTCCTTACACATTTTCTTTCGCAATCGTTTAGATGAAGAAAAAAAAATTATCATTTACTTCCCTTGTACAATATCCTCTTTCAAATTCTAAATTCAGTATGAGATAAAATGTACAGAATATTGTTTTTTGAGCATACACAATATTGTAAATAGTTATCAGCACCTTTTTACCATATCCAGTCCTTCATCGCTATTCATAACACTTTTTTTTTTACTATTGTTACTGTTCTATTATATGTGCTAAAAAAATAAAGCGTTTTTTGTATGTATTTCTTTTTATTTGAAGTTTTGAAATAATTTTTTTGTATAGATCGTAAATCAATTGATTTACATTTACTTTGTTGATTCTAATTTTAATCTCATTCTTGTTTTTTATTTAAATTTATTTTCTCAACGATTTGACAAAGATTTTGTCATTTTTAAGAGATAAAATGTACATAAGAAGAGATGTTGACTCGAAGAATACAGATGAATGTTCTTCTTTGTATGACAAGATAGACGTATGTTTTCTCTTTTATATGTGGTATTAAATTAGTATAGAAACAAAATATATATATTGTGCAACAGTAAGAAAAATGTGAAAAGTAGCTTGCTCTTCGATAGAAAAATATTTGCATGTGTATGAACTGTACAACCTTTAATATAAAGGAGAAAATGAAAAAAAAAGAATGAATCTTCTTCCAAATAAATCCTCTAACTTTCCGGATCTTTTTTTAATTAATGTTTTTAAAATGCCTTCAGAAAAAATGAAAAGAGAAACAGAGTATTGTTGAATTTAGGTTTGTGGCTCTACATTGCTAAAAATTCTTTTATTAATAATCGATACGGTTTATTATCTTTAAGTAAGATTTTGAATTTATCACAGTTAATTTCATGTCCAGTGTCTAATAGTGCTTATTCTCGAATTCTAGTAACTCTTGTATAATAAATAACACACTCGATGATCAATCAAATAATAAACGAATAATTATTGATGAAAAAAAGATTCATTCTTTCTTTCTTTCTTTCTCTTCTTTTAAATTAAAGGTTGTACAGTTCATACACATTTCAAAACGTTGAGAAAATAAATTTAAATAAAAAGCAAGAATGAGATTAAAATTAGCTGATGTATTAATCACTCACTATACTTTTGACCAATCAGTCTAATGAACGAAAAATCAGTTATAAAAAATTTCGCATTTCTGACTTTTTGTTTTCTACTCATACTTGGAATATTTTATTTTTTCACTTGTTAACTGAACTTTTCTACATCTTTTACTTAATATAAAATCAATTTTTGTATGTTTTCCAGAGATCCGGTCTCTAAAAATAAACCCAGTACGAACATACTTTGAAAATTTGAAAATCATCCCTCTTCTAGTGCATACTGAAGCTAGTTGTTGTCACAAATCTTGCACTGTATTATAGCCGCTCATACTGAAAAATATCATACTATTTGGTGGACATGAACTTTTGTTTCTCTTCGATCTGAAGAACAACCATTAGAAAGTTATATCAGCATGTAAGATTAAATAAGTATAACACTTAAACTAATTTTTCACCCATTATCGAAATACATTTACAGATAATTCTTTTTTATCTTATTACAAACAAGAAAGTGTAAAAAGATAGTTTTATATTTTTGATGTTCTATGCGATGTGATTATTCACTTATATAATACTTCGACATCGGCTAAATAGACAAAAACAATAACTCTTAAAAATATAATTCACATTACATTAAAAAAAAACAAGAAAAAAATGCATCTGACGATCTATCAAGATTTATCTACAAAAAAATTTAAAAATTTTTAAAATTCAGACGGCTGTTGACCATGTAGTACAGTAGTTGTCCGTAAATGGAAGAACAGCGTCAATCTGAGCTAAATTTCTTTCTTTTATTGATTTTTTTCATGAATTTTTTCAAGTAGAAACACCAATTAATAATAAATCGAATGTTAACAGATCTGGATCATAATCGCATATAACATGATAAACTAGAAGCAATAGAAAATTCAATAGGTACCCATTTGTCTTGTCTAGAAATCCATGATGCAACCAAGTCTCTTATAAAACAAACTATCCGATCGCTGCCCATTTTCATTATTGACGCTTCTTCTTTTAATGACTAGGAGAAGAAAATAAAAGAAATAGGGACATAAGGCTAAAGCATATATTTCTTAACAAACCTTCATGGTAAGTTTATATGCAAAGTAGAACAATGTTACCAGTCGGTTCCAATTATAGACACCATCGTTGAACACAGTACTACTGAAAATTACAAGAACAACTGTACTAGAACACTATGCTCAATTTTCTCTATTCTTTCGATAGACCTTTGAAGTTAATATATTAAGTTAAATATTCAGAGTTTGATAAAGAAAAAATGAACAATACAATGTTTTATCCGACTCCTGTAAGCTCAAGTTCGCAAATTCTTTTTATTTTCCTAAATCCGCCCTTTTTGTCGTGTCTCTCCAAACAGATATCACTGTAGTATAGAAATATTCCACTCACACAGCATACATTCGGTTTCATACCGACTGTGTCATCGAAACAACATATTTAACGACAACTAAATTGAAAGTTCTCCATATCAGAACCATGCATTTGTTTAGTCGTTCGCGCGAATGCGACAATCTCTAGTCGAGAATTATCGAATCGCTTCTTCAGTACTTAAATATAAAATAAAAGTTTATTTAAAATTATAATGATTTAAACATTGTATTATAGTTTTGCATAAGAAATTTTTGAATAATCTAGTTTTGAAGAGTGATAAATTCTGTACAAAATGACCTGTTACATAAACTTGCACGATATGAAAGTAGACAGATATGTATTGTATGGGGGGCGGAGGGGGAGGGCGACTGACTGGTCGCGACAGCCGTGGTTTCCAGTAAAGTTCTTGCTGATCTGTCTATTCTCATATCGCACGAATTTGTGCGAGTTTGTACAAAAATCAACGTTACTTAAACTTGATTAGCAAAAAATCTAGTTAAGGCAATAGGTTTATAAACGAACTTTAATGGGATAATTAAATTCAGTTTTAACATTAAGTGAATTATTTTTCGAAACTTTGTGTTCAGTTGTGCCTATTGCTTGATGATGAAGTAGACGCTGTTAACATCCATTGGTGCAGATTTGGCTTTTGATTTGTCATTATCAGACACAATTTTAATCAAATAATTTCCAGTTCGATAAAGTTCTGGTATCTGATATCTAATATAATGTTTCATCGTTATTGTAATTCGTAACCTTCAGCGTTTGCAATCATGTGTTTTTTGTTGAGGAAGAAAAGCAGCATTTTTTTATCTGTTTTAGCAAATAACTTTGGATAAACTATGATTCTATATTTGAATACAGAATACTTAGGACCAGCGATTTCGATTAAGTGGGAGAATTCCTCCACCTTGTTTGAAAAAATTACTCCGTTCATTTTAAAAAGTTGACCCCTACTAAAAAAAAATTACTCCGAAAAGTTAAAAGCCCTTTTTTTGGTTATCAGCTAAATTTGTAGAGTTGCTCCATAAAACTTTCCCCACCTTGCCAAAGTTATATCGAAAATCCTGCTTAGGACCATACCCGTATACGATTTCAGAGATCTATAGAAATCATAGAGAAAATTAAACATTTGCTGCTACTACAGCCTTCTAAAAAATTTAAGCAGTATTAATGTCTTACATTGCTAATGTCTCATATGAACTATGGTATGGAACCTGATCAACTATACTATAAAAAAAGAAAAGGCATCAATCTTTATCATTTTACAAATATGAGAAGCGCATCACGAAGAATTGTAAAACAAGAGAAAATTTAATAAGCCAAGAAAAAAGAGTATTTTGGAGTTAACATAGGTAAAAAGAAACAAATACATACAGGGTGTCCCAGAAAAAACTTACCCCCTCTGTATTATTGGCTTTCTTGTGTACAAATATAATTGAACCTTTTATCATTGGTTTAGCCGAATAGAGCAAAGATTTCTGGACAGAATGAGACGTCTCTGAGCTCTCTAAGAGCTTTTCTCATGAAACAGCATTCAATTTACGGAAGATTCCATACCACTAAAATAGGAACAATTAATGAGAAAACAAGAAAAATATGCTCTTAGGGTTTTCCGTAAATTGAATGTTGTTTCACGAGAAAAGCTCTTAGAGAGCTCAGAGACGTCTCATTTTGTCCAGAAATCTTTGCTCCAAAAAGGTTCAATTATATTTGTACGAAAGAAAGCTAATAAATACAGAGGGGATAAGTTTCTTTTTGGAACACCCTGTATATATACAAACATATTCTTTTTGCTTGAGAAGTAAAAATATAAAGGATTTGGTACATGAAAAAAGTTCTCTTGTTCTTAGGTATTGCATATACTACAACATTTCTATTTTAACGTTTTGAAATTATTTAAACTATTCGATTTTATATTTAAAAGTTTACTGTTTCTTATCAAAAATTGAATACACAAACTAACCCGTATCTTTTTAAACGTAGATCTTGATCTAATTCATCACCGATTAAGCGTAATGTTTGTGCAATCGTTTGTATTGGACTATGCTGTCGCACTAAAGATAAACATCAAATTTATCATCATTCTTTGACATCTTTAAGCATCAGACTTACATGATAACGGATCAAAATCGAGTATAGCTTTAATAAGATCGATTTCGACATCAGCAGCAAAAGCTGATTCCCGAATAAATTCTTTGGACATATGTTGTGTTTCGTTTCTAACATCTTCAACATGCGTCAGGACAGGTGGCGTATTTAGAGCTAACAAAAATTGAAATAAAACCTTGCAAAATAATAAAATCGACTTACGCATATATGGTATGGGAATAATATTCAAGGAAATATCACGTATTATATTTTCTTTGCAGGGCACCGTTTTTTTATCACATTCTTTTCTAGTCGATGCCATTTTTTATATCAACGACATAAAAAGCAACGACAATCTAACGCGACAAAGTAACTGGACAGAGTAAAACTCCGATTCTTTAACTTAAAGTGCCAAAAAAATCAACCGATTATAACCGCCTGAAATTATGTATTTTTTTTTGCACAAAATTTTTCAACGAAAATTGATTCTCTAAAATTTTTTTAACAGCCGGGTTTTGTAGAGCAAACATTTTACTACAAGATGAGCTATGGAAGTATTCTTCTTGGATCTATTACTTATAAGAAAAAGACTTCTTAAAAGTTTCATGATCGGTTATAACCGATTTAGGCAAGAAGGAAAAGGCGGCTCCGGGAGCTTTCCGGAGCCGTTGAATGCTTTCCGATACTTGAGACGCTCAGCATCCGATGCTAAGAAAGAAAAAGTCGCCGTTTCCGCCTTGGATTTAGAGCTCGTCGTCGAAAAGCAATGCGGCAGAAACAGAAAACATGAAGGCTTCCGCCATAGCTCATCTCGTAAAAAAATGTTTGTTCTACACAACCCAGTTGTTAGAAAAATATTAATATGCGTACTTTTCATGCAATCTGTTGCAGTAAAAGGTATCAGTAATAAAAAAGAATGAAATCCAGATTTTGCTGTATGTTAACCTTGCAGAAGTGATGACCAATCAGAACACAACCACAAAAATTCATTTCTCAAAGACATGTCGGATCACAAGTCGACAATCTTGAGATCATTTCTGACAGAACCTTGATTTCAGGTCAATCTTATCAGATTCTGATCCTATACAATCAATAATAAGATTCAGATTAGAATGACCTGATCTGAAAAATTTTTCAAGATTCATGGTCACTGATTCTTGGTAAGAAATCAAGATCAGTCCATTCTGGTCTGAATCAGGAGATTGTTTGAAAAATACTGATATCTCAGTAACGGCTTCTGGCTAGAGAACTCTGAATATACATTCTAAAAAGTCTTGATATCAGCTATAATATGTACTAAAAAAAGTCCCGCAAAAATGAGTTTCTTTGTTAACTGGCTTTTGATTGTACGAGCCATGGTCGTATGACTACACACCATCAGATTCTGACTGAAAATCTGAAAAAAATGGCTTTCTCAGGAAGAAAGTACTGAAATCAAGATTCAGTCAGAAACGATCTCAAGATTGTCGACTTGTGATATATATATATACCGCCAAGCCCAAAATGCATAATAGAATAACACTGTCCTCGATTCAAAATTTTAAATTTTGTCCACATTGTGTATGAAAGACTGTACCTCAAGCAGAGAATTTATCCCTAAAATATTTTCTTACTCAAGTGATTCCTTCTTTAGTAGGTCGTCTATGCATCTGACGACTTTGAGAAAACTGGTGGTATATGGCGGTACATATACCGCCAGTTTTCTTAAAAAAACGAGACATGGGAAACTTGTCACGTACCGACGCCGTTCTCATTTTAACATACTTTAACCTAAATCTAGCTTTATTACCGGAAAAACCTGTAGACCAGAGCCAGCGACGTCTGCTTAAGGGGGGCCCCGTTTTGTTTTGATATGTTGTAGAATTCGATGGGCCACGCCAGAATAACCCCCCTTTATGGGGTCACAAACGTAAAAAAAGTGATCAAAATTGAGTTACAAATTTTTTTCCCATCTATTTTGCCGGGATACCGGAAAATGAAAAGTATTTTGAAAAAAGCCTTGCCAAAAATGCTGCATGGTGGAAAAAAACTTTTGCAACAAAAAATGTGCGCAATGGCCCATTACAGGGGGGAACGTTTTCTGATTTTCAAAATTTTCTTTAATATGTTTTAAATTTAAATTCTTTTTTAATTAATTAAGTTTAAATTTTAATTGAAATTTAAAGTCCTAGTCCTCATTTTAAAAAACTTGTAGCTCAGTCAAAAATAATCGTAGAAAAGTCATTCATTCATTGCTTGATAGCTAATGGTCCGCTGTTATGGTCAGATAAAAAAAGTTTTAAAAAAAGTGCTTTTAAGACAATAATTTATAATTAATCAATGCTAATGAATACTGATTAATATCACTCTGGTGCTTTACACTTTTATTTGCAAATTAACAGTTTATTGGAAACAGTAATACGCCATTCGACAGAGATTTTCAAGCACTACTAAACTCTGTATTTGCCTTTTCAAAATGTTACCGATAAGTACTTATTTGTACTCGGTTTTAGTCAAACGGGGTTTCTACTATAGATTTCTGAATAGAGCTGCCATGGATGGTTTTTGAATAACTCAAGAATGAAAAGAGATAGAGAGTTCGAGTTTTCAACATTTTGTAGAGAAGGCTTTACTCTATCTTCGCATATATTTTGTGCTAAAAATCTCAGTTTTTCAGATGGTATACCCGACGGATAAAAGATGATGAAGTTGCTAGATTTTGAACCTGTGGTGGACTTTTAATTTCAACATGGTGGCTAGATAGCCCAAAGTGTTCTCTACAATTCTGCGCAAGACCGACCTTTCTATCTGTTGTGGTTTTCAAATAGCAAGCATTTTCCTGAGTCACCTGTAATTGGTTACCATGTTACCGGGTAAATGCCTGCCATTTGAGAGCCACAACAGACAGAAAGTTGGCCTTGTGCAGAATTGTAGAGAACACTTTGAACTATCAAGCTACCATGTTATAATTAAAAAACCATTGCAAGTTCAGAAATGCAGAACCTCATCGCTTTTCATCCGTCACGTATCCGTGACCTGAAAAACCGAGATTTTTAGCACGAAATAGAGGTTTTTAAAGGTGTGGAAAGGACACTGCGGAGGCATCCAAGATCCAGAAACATTAATACCAATCAATAGGCAGTATTCGAAAGAAACAAAATAAAAAATAATAATGACACTTACTTTTCTTGTTTCGTTGATAGTACTCGTCGAAAAAAAAATTCAGATGAAGTGGAGTTGACAAATGGATCCAGCATTTATAGTTTTGAAATCATAAACAGAAAAAAAGTTGAAAAAGGAAAGTAATCCGAGTGTGTTTTGGAACATTCAAGATCGGTAACTTATACGAAACCATAAGACTGTCGTTTCCCAATATGTTAAATATGCAAAATTGAATTTTCCCGGGCAACGCCGGGTACTTCAGCTGGTATATATATATAGTAAAATTGATTTTGCTATGAAAATACTGAGTGAACCAAACTGTCACGACCGTAAACAGAGATCGGGAAGAAATTGTTCGACCTCGACCAAAATCTGCTGCACCTCAAATTCAACATAATGAAAACTTGTCTTCTGATGCGATGTATGCCTTGACACCTACCTGTTCGAACATATCGGAAAATGAAGCTTGTAATGTCACCTCCGACCTAAATAAAGGAAAGATACAATATGTTTATGTTAATAATACTACACAATTTGAACTGTTTGGTGAGGGTGCCGCTAATACATTGATTAGCAATGTATCTGATGATGTAGGTATACATAAATTTTGTAACACATTTTTATTTTTATCAGGCAACATTGTTTCCAGGTTAATAAATCGACTATTGATGACAATACTGATGATATTCTTAACACATGGAGAAAGTCACCAGTCAAAAAAATGGTGACAGCTGCAAAGGTATTTACTCTATACATCCCCTCTATAACGGAATAACAAGCAAAGTTTTAATCTCATTTATGGAACAGTGCAAAACATGAAGGAGAGAATAAGATTCGACTGTTCAAGTTGCAGTTGAAGGAATAAATACTACGTAACATTCTATCTACTGATATCGTTTCAGTTGATACCTTCGTTGATATTTCGTGTAGGTATCAACTGAAACGATATCAGTAGATACCTACACGAAATATCAGCTACATTCGATCAATGATATGAATGCAACGACGAAACTGTCAGACAAGTCTCCCGTAATGAACTATATCGAAACCTCCAACCTTTTGTATTGACTCGGTACACTCGAACGAACGCATCAGACGTTTTCATAGCGCCGTTACAACAAATTTTCACGTAAAGTTGACAACAAGTCGAGAGAGCACGTTCCAATTAACAAATGAACCATCACTGGATTTACAATCCGCTGTCAAATTCTTATCAAGACAAAAAGGTATGTGGAATATGAATATCAAGCCACTTTGCTGCGGGCTATGGCATCGAATTATATGTGTGACACTTGTGGACATGTAAGTAAATAAAATTAGTAGATATCAAGTGGTTGTAAAATATGTATCCTTTTTACAGATTCGAGGGCAATGCATACACCAAGTACCATATTCTCATTAGATGTCAGCATGTCTAATCAAGTAATCGATTTAGACACCGAATTATTCGATGTATTCGTTCGAAACAAGGTCAAGTGTCACACTTGCAAAGCTTTTCATCAAAATTCAACAATTATGGTGTGTCATGTGCACAGATAATTCTCATTCAGATTCCGATCACTCAACAGATGATTCGTAATCTCGATACTTTATTCGTCAACTCTAGCAATGAATGCATCGACATTCATTACCATCTGAACCATAGGCGGCGCAGCGCCTTGAATCCAGGTGAGGCTCATAATGTTGTCTTCTCTCCGGCCGAAGTTCGACCATTAAACTTTTATTCAAGTATCATAGGACATTACCACAAGCGCATAAGAGGCTTGAAAACTATGTATTTTCATGAGATGTCATGTTCGAAACTAGGTGAGGCTGGGTGAGGCCCCCAATCTGGGTGAGTGGCTCCGCCGCCCTTGATCTGAACGTGCTTATGATTGTACTCGACGGATTCAGTGTTACACTACTCAAAAAAATACAGGACAGCTATTCGTCCTATGTTAGTGAAACAAATACATTTGAAGAAATTAACAATTTCATCCTGAAAAAATTTACAGCAAAGCGCTAAACACATTATACTTTGCTAGCGTAACTCGGAAGAGATGAATCCTGTTCTAGATTTAAAATGCAGTAAAATCGATTTGAGTGACTTTGTGGAATTGGTTGAGCCGAATAAAAAGAGTATTAGTATTATTGATGGACATTTATCTGATTCACAAATGAGCTACAAAATCGATAATTTTGAACTACCTGCTGCAGACCTACGCGAATTATTATCAAGTAATAATTTATTTAATGATCTGATACTTAATGCACATTTCACATAACATCTACAATGGTGGATGGAGTTTTGGCACTTGACACACTAATAACCAACAGACTTCTAGCACAATTTTATTCAAGTACAAATCTATTTAGAGTCCAATGGTTCAACTATCGTATTGTACTATTTTCCATTCATTATTCACAACACTGGTATTTGTACATAATCGACTTTACGAAAAAGACAATCGTTCAATTCGACTCAATGCCTTCTTACAATGTGCCTAGAGACGAACATCTAAACAAACTTATGCAACTGATTAACGCACATTTGTACTTAAAACATGCAAATAATATCGATTTCAACCAATGGGCATTCGCAACATATCCTCGTAGTATTTAAACAACAACAGGACTCGACATCCTGCGGAGTACACTGTGCAATTATAGTACGTTCCTATTGCACGCAAGCGTACTATCCTCCGATCACAAAAACTACAGGTACTTTATTGTACTCGAGATCATTCAAAGAGGTGCTCTCTTTCCGTATGTTTAAAATCAATTGCAGTTCAATGGTGCTCCTCTCTCTGTTGTGTCTTCTGTTCGTTGTCTTTGTGCTCTTGTTTCGCATGATCTTAGGTGGAGTGAGCTTGCCAGGAACATGGCTCTTGTTTGTCGGCGTAAGTTGAGTGCATTGAGTCCTGTGTTTGGATTAGTTCCATCAGAGGTTCGGCATCGGATCTATATTTCTTATATTCTTCCTAAAATGAATTAGTGTTGTGCCTTGTATGATAGTTCTTTTTCTCTCTCTATTCTTGACTCTGTGAATAAACTTGCTTCTCGTGTTATTTCTCGCAATTTTGACTATCGTTCTTCTAGTTCTCTACTTGTGTCTCAACTTTCTTTTTCAAATCTATCTCTTCGTCAGAAATACTTTATACTTCTACAGTTTTTCAAAATTTATCATCATCTAACGAGGGAACATATTTGAGTGACCGCCCCCCTAGAAAAGAGACCAGCCCAAGCCAGACCGGTAGACCAATTTAAACACAAAACCAAAAAAATAATAATTAAAACC